TACATACACATACACACACACATATATATATACACATATATATATATAAATATAATATATAAATATGTATGTGTGTATATATATATATATATATATATAAAATATGTATATATATATATATATATATATATATATATATATATATATATATATATATATACACATATATACACACACACACACACACACACAACACACACATATACGTACACACATATATATACCACACATATATACATATATATATACACACACACACACACATACAAACTTTTTCACTTTTAGCTGTCCAATCACTATATATTCTATTCCACAGCACTGACTACGTCTCCTCTTAGACTTTACAGTGACCCCTTGACACCAACCCTTGTAAAGGTCAATAAATTGCTGAAAAAATGTAATTCACAGGACAGTGTCAAGCCTCAAGACAATAGTTCATGAAAGATCAAGGCTCGGTCATTAAAGCTTTTATAAGTAAGTAACACAAAGTATGGGTCCAGGTGCATAAATTGACAAGTAGGTGGCAGTCCTTTTGCAGTTTTTACAGCTTAACCTGATATCAAGCAATCTTTTCACATGATGGACCAATAAAAGTGGAATATTTTACGGATCTGTGACCCTCCTGTACACAGAATGCTTGCCCATTCCTTTCTTTTGTAATGGAATGGAAGAAAGGTGGGCTTGTCCCTGTTAGCCTGGGGTGTCTAATTAGCATTAATAAAAACCCAATTGGAGTTATATGAAGGATCTGATCACACTTGCACAACAATAACACAGCCATGATGAGTGCATTCACACCAAGGAGTCACACGTCCTTGACTGAACAGCGCTAATTGTGAACTTTACATGGGGATTAAACTCATAAATGTTTTTCAAAGGCATTCAGTAGTAATCGGCTCCCTGACTAGTACAGGAGTGTAGAGATCTGATTAACACAAGACAAGCAGCAGCTATAAATGTGTATCATGTAATAGGTATACTGGATATTTTCTGGGCAGCTTATTGGGTTGCATTGATGCAGCTATTTACCTGATCAAAATATAAATGGAATGTACTACAAGTTGCCCATAAGTGTCCACCCAAAAGTGATATTTCAGTTGTGGCCTCTTGTATCCCTTACATTCTCCTGATGCATTTTTCATATTATGGAATGCAGTAGAAAAAGTGAGACCCCTCATTGTGGGGTAAAGAACTGGCAGCCAAGGGGTAATAAGGTGCAATGATGATAAAGGAGAGTGTTTACCTAAAGTTGCTTTGGGTGGACAGTACTGAGTTCATAAAGAGGAACTTAACTCTTCTGTAGCTTTGGCCCCGACACTCCTTTGGCACTCATCTCAGTCTAGCGTGTGGGTAAATATACCAAGGTTTGGAACTTCCATACTTCTTTTTTCGCTCATCTGCGCACACACAAAATCCAGGGGGTCAAACATCATTTTCACCTAGGTACAAAAACCTATGAGGTTAAAAACAAATAATAATAATAATAACATCCAAATGTGAGCGTGGGAAGGGGCAAAATAAGTAAATTATTTAGGTTGAAGGCCTGCTTTACATTTTTACACTTTTTATTTCCTTGTGTTTATTCTTATAGGGTGAAGGTCTGCTTTAAGATCTGATGTTCCAATCTAAAGCTCACTAGTAACATTTTGTTTGAAAATGTTCATTTTTGGGACATTTGTTTGGTTTTCTAATGTTTAATGGGGATCTATTCAACATTTATCAATGAAAAAGCATATGTATTGTAATGAAACCTGTTTAATACATCCGAGTTTACATTCAAAGAGCAGTTCTGGATGAAATTTCAAGACCATGTATGGCCAGCTTAATGTAAATCTTTACCCTCAATTTCTCACTTATAACTTTCCTCCTCTGCACCCCTCCTCCCTTCCACTGTTCAAATAGCCCTTTTTCTAACCTTTTTGTTAAATTTTTTTTTGTTAATTGAAGCTTTTTTCCCCCTTATGCACGTCACTCACCTAGGCAAATGATGTGCACTTTGCCAGCTATGCCTCCTGGGATATACAATCCAATCACCACTGACAGAAGTTCTTATATTGAACTTTAAAATAAGCTTTTATTTATTTACTGTCTATAAAAACCATTATCCAAAAAAGGGAAAATAACTGTAGTGTGAGAATTGGACTGGACTTCTAAGTTGTTAGTATACTTTAATCTGCTAGTAAATGTACCACTCCCCTCCACGAAGACTGACAATGCTGCTGCTGACTGCTGTGCCCCCTATGCTTCTTTATCCAGAGTGGAGACACTCTAATACAGGAGTTGTACTACTGGCCAGCTCACCAGGTGAAAACAGAGGGGAAAAGACGTAAAAAAAAAAAAACCCCAAAAAAACCCCATAAAAACCCAAAACAAATGCAGTCACAACATCTAAGGATTGGTAAGCTGAAATACTGTAGATTACATTTTTAGTTTAATAGCACTTTATGTAGTCATAACCAGAGTTGCTTTAGCATTGTAGTAAACATTCACGCAGACATAATGGTGTCAATATGTTCATTTATTTAATTAGTTATCTACTACATAACCCTGTTCTTTTTTAGCCATAGATTGTTTTCATTTTATAGATTTTATATTATTATAGTTCTCCAGACCATCACTAATATTAATAAGGGTTGGTTCACACTAAAGAAACGTAGTCCAGATGCGTCCATTTTTGACACATTTTGGTGCATTTGTAATGCATTTTTTATGTGTTCCAGTGCGTTTGTTATGTATTCCAGTTCATTTTTTTTCCGTCTGTTTCTTCCATTTAAATAGGAACACGTGCATTCCAGTGCATTGTTGGTGCATTCCCATGCGTTTTACCACATTCCAGAACAGTTCTGTTCAGAAAAAATGCAGCTTGTTCTTTTTTTTTCTGCAACTGGAACACACTGCAACTGCAAGCGCTGATGTGAACTATGACATTGACAACTATATAACCTACTTTCTGTGCATTTTGGATGCATGAAAAAAAGCAACTGAAACACTTGTAGTGTGAACTGGCTCTAATGGTTACTAGTTTTATTCTATCTTTTAATTTGTGGTGTTCCTTGTTATATGTATTATACATGTAAATAACAATAACTCAGAAACCCCAAAACAGTGAATCATATGCCCGACATAAGAGTGAATTCCATCCCTGTCCTCTGCACTGTAAATTTGGTATTTTACAAACTCTTTCTTGGAAAAGGATACTGTACACATAATTATTATTTATGAACCTTGTTCACACATTCCATGGGTAGTTTTTTTTACACTGTTCTGTACATACGAATCCTGATATAAAGGCAATGTGGATTTGTGAACATCTGTATATTATTTTCCTTTATGCTTTGTGTCTTGTGTACTTTCTTTTAAATGGGTGCTCTTAAAAAAAAAAAAAAAAAATACACACACACACACATATATATATATATATATATATATATATATATATATATATATACATATATATATATATATACACATACATATCCTAGGATCTCTGCTGCAGAATATAGAATAGGACGCCTGCTAAAATAATCCAATTATATTATTAAAAACAAAAAAAAAACAAATTTTGTATTGCTTTAAGTATTATTATTACACTGTTCTGTATATATGAACCCTCACATAGAGGCAATGTGGATTTGTGAACATCCGTATATTATCCTTATTTATGCTTTGTGTAAATGGGTGCCTTGTAGAGTAATACAGATTTAAAAAAACAAAAAAAAACAAAAAACACATTAGTTTGACAGACATGATAGACATTTTCTTTGAATAACTGTGATGAGTCTCATAGTTGTGTGACAGCTTGTCCCATGGTCAGTTTTTGGTTGTAAAGTGCCCTCTGCTGGTCAGATGAACTATACACTTATTGCAGAAGTACAGATCAGCCTTGAAAAGAAAGTTATTTGCATATGAGTTTCTAAACATCATGTCAATTGACTTTCCACAGTACTACACCTTTGTGATTGGGTTGATATTACTAAATATAAGATACAACTGCACTATGAGCATTGTCTGAAAATCAAGTATTTTATTATTAAACAAAAACCAACTAATCCGAATGCAGTGTCTATGCCATGTATTTCTTCTGCAAACAATTATTATTATTACTGTTATTATTATACAGGATTTATATAGTGTCAACAGTTTGCTCAGCACTTTACAATATAACGAGACAATACAGCAATGATACAGTTCAATACAAGAGGGTTAGGAGGGCCTGATCCTGGGAGCTTACAATCTAATAAAAAGCGCTGACAGCATACTAATGGCACTGGGCAGAAAGGGGTTAACATCTGGGGAAATCAAAGGGTTAACTGTGTGCTGTTTTGGAGCTTACAATCTAAGAGAATGATGATGTTTAAACTTAGAGTGGTACATCACTTCAGACTGATGAAGGCAATCTGCTGAAGAGAGCAGTAAGGCAAGTATTAGACCTTCTTTACATTACTGGTGCTCTCTGAAGAGAGATCTCCATTCTAATCGTTCTTTAGAGAGTATTTGATAAGTGGCGAGGAGATATTGTATTGCCTCCCCACCACCTTCTTTAACCCCTTGAAACTTGCACTAGTGTGCCACAACTGCATGCATTACAGCTGCAAAGAACTCCTATTTAGTATAAGGGGTACTGCCTGCTGATTGTGACAGCAGGGATCATTTTTGCCTCAGCACAGTGAAAAGCGTTGCACTCACAATATGCGTTCACCCATGGCCTCTGCTTTGCAGAATACGGAGAGCGGTTGGGAGTGGTAAAACTGTGGCTCAACCACATGATTTTACTGCCCTTCTAATCACTAGTGTAAATGGACCATACACCTTATTCCACTACCTATAAACATAATTAACTCTTGCAATGGGGAGAAGGGGAAAGAGCTGAGGGTCAGGGGCAGACTGACAACTCATGGGGCCCCCGGGCAATAGGGGATCATAGGGCCCCTGTGTCCTTGCCCAAACTCAAAAAAGCCTATGAAAAAAGGTACCAGGGGCATCTCATGGGGCCCCCTACTGACCCCGGGCCCTCAGACAGTGCCCGAGTTTCCAAATGGTCAGTCCGCCCCTGGTTCAAAGTAAGGGTAACTATTTCATGCCTGCCTTAGGGCTTTAAGATAAACCTGTACTTTCCTGTTTAAAGTGATACTAAGTGCATTTTATTTCATTAAAATAAAAAAGATGTTTTACTTAACTGTCCTTTGCCTCCTTTTTGGCTGTTCCCCCATGGGCACTGTCCACTCCTCCCTCTTCCGAGTGCCCCCTTAGGAAGCTGGGTGCTATGGAGCCACCCGTGCACACGGGTCCATAAAACGCACACAATGCGGGTAAGTCATGCCCCACTCCCTCCTCACAGGAGTTTGACTGACAACCATAGGAGCCTATGGCTTTACAGCCCTCTATGTCTCCTGTGAGACCATGAGGTGACAGGAGCCATGCTGATGTCAGGACAGTGCTGGAGCAGTGATAGAAGTCAGGTAAGTGTTTAGAGATGGGGGTGAGTAGGACAGATTGTGGGGAGTTCTTCTTAACCTTAATGCAGGGAATACATTAAGGTTAATAAAAAGCATTTTGACTTAAAGTGTTACTATACCCACAACAGTAAAATCAGTCTGTATATGCAGTAAAGCATGCTTGTTATACTCACTGTAGAATCTAAGGGGTTAATCCTGTGCATTGTGTAAAAATGCTGTTTGATCCTGACTTCTCTGATCCTCCGCTTCTTCCAGTGCCCCCCTCATATCTCCTGATAAGACATATTGTGTGAAGACACTCTGCACATGCTCAGTTTGGTGTGTATTGCTAAAAAGGTTGTTGTTTTTTCTTGGGAGAGTGCGTGTGATCAGCAGAGCCAATCAGCACTGTCCAGACAAATGTCGGGGGTCCTGCATCTTCCTAGAGCAGAAAGAAAACTCCTCCTAAAAGGACTTTAAAGTGTTACTAAACCCAGGACCCTGCATTCACTATATCTGGTCTCCCACAGTAAACACAACATGGAAATGCAATCATTTTAGTAAATATAAACTGATAATACCTTTTCTCATCAGCAGTATATAGCATTCTTTTAAATTCTATCAGTGTCCAGCTGAGGACTGGTTAATGCTTGTAGGAAGAGTTTTCATTCTGCTCTGACTGTCCTATTGAAGCTGCATAACCCCTGACCTTCTTTCTGGACAGTGCTGATTGGCTTTGTGCTGATCACATGCACCCTCCCAATGAAGAAAAAAACGCTCTAGCAATACATACTAAACTGAGCATGTGCAGAGTGACTCCCAGAGCTCTGTACTATCAGCAGATGGTTTGGGGACAGTAGAAGAAGGAGAGGATTGGAGAAGACAGGATCAAACAGCCCTTTTATACAATGTGGAGGATTAACCCCTTAGGTTCCACAGGGAGTATAACAAGCATGCTTTGCTGCATATACAGACTGATTTTACTGTTGTGGGTTTAGTAACACTTTAAGAACCACTTTAAGGCAAGTTAATAGTTTATTAGATAGGTACGCAGAGCCCTTCAACAGACTGTTCACTTCTTTTAGTATTACAGACCTACATAGTATTAGCAGCGCACAGTCTACTTCCCATCCAGTACATATTATGCTTCTATAGCTATCACCAGCAGATCCCAATCTCTTCATAAAAGCTTACCTTATTAGATGCAGTAAAAAAAAAAAAAAAAGATACATACACTACTCAAAAAAAATTAAAGGAACACTTTGAAAACACATCAGATCTCAATGGGGAAAAATCTCATGCTGGATATCTATACGGATATGGACTGGGTAATGTGTTAGGAATGTAAGGATGCCCCATTGTTTGATGGAAATGAAAATTGTCATCCTACAGAGGACTGAATTCAAAGACACCCCGAAAATCAAAGTGAAAAAGTGAAGCAGCAGGCTAGTCCATTTTGCTGAAATTTCATTGCAGCAACTAAAAATGGTCCTCAGTAGTTTGTATGGCCCCCACGTGCTTGTATGCATGCCTGACAACGTCAGGGCATGCTCCTAATGAGAAGTTGGATGGTGTCCTGCAGCATTTCTTCTCAATTCTGGACCAGGGCATCACTCAGCTCCTGGACAGTCTGAGGTGCAACCTGGAGGCATCGGATGGACCAAAACATGATATCTCAGAGGTGTCCTAATGGATTTAGGTCAGGCGAGCGTGGGGGTCATTCAATGGTGTTAATTCCTTCAGCCTCCAGTAACTGCCTGCATACTCTCACCACATGAGGCCGGGCATTGCCGTGCACCAGGAGAAACCCAGGACCCGCTGCACCAGCGTAGGGTCTGACACTGGGTCCACGGATTTCATTCCGATACCTTATGGCATTCAAGGTGCCATTGTCTAGCCTGTAGAGGTCTGTGCGTCCCTCCATGGATATGCCTCCCCAGACCCATCACTGACCCACCACCATAACAGTCATGCTGAATGATGTTACAGGCAGCATAATGTTCTCCCCGGCTTCTCCAGACCCTTTCATGTCTGTCACATGTGCTCAGGGTGAACCTGCTCTCATCTGTGAAAAGCACAGGGCACCAGTGGTGGACCTACCAATTCTGGTGTTCAATGGCCAATGCCAATCGAGCTCTATGGTGCTGGGCAGTGAGCACAGGGCCCACTAGAGGACGTCGGGCTTCAGATCACCCTCATGAAGTCTGTTTTCTGATTGTTTAGTCGGAGACATTCACACCAGTAGCCTGCTGGAGGTTATTTTGTAGGGCTCATCCTGTTCCTCCTTGCACAAAAGAGCAGATACTGATCCTGCTGATTGGTTAAGGGCCTTCTATGGTCCTGTCCAGCTCTCCTACAGTAACTGCCTGTCTCCTGGAATCTCCTTCCTGTTACTGAAACTGTGCTGGGAGACACAGCAAACCTTCTGGCAATGGCACGTATTGATGTGCCATCCTGGAGGAGATGGACTGCCTATGCAACCTCTGTAGGGTCCAGGTATAACCTCATGCTACCAGTAGTGACACTGACTCTAGCCAAATGCAAAACTAGTGAAAAACAGTCAGAAAAGATGAGTAGGGAAAAAAATGTCAGTGGCCTCCACCTGTAAAAACTGTTCTTGATTTAGGGGTCATCTCATTTTGCCCACCTGTAGTTAATTTCATTAACAACAAAGCAGCTGAAAACTGATTAACAACCCTCTCTGCTACCTAACTGTTTCAGATAACCCACCCTTGGGCTCGTTCACACTTGGCTGTTTTACCAACGCTTGCCAAACGCCCCTATGGTGTTTGGCAAGCGTTAGTCCGGCGTTTGCGGAGCGTTTTTGAAATGCTCGGCAAATGCTCCGCAAACACCGCATGCGCAGTTTAGCGGCGGTTGCTAGGCTTTTGCCGAGCGTTAAAAACGCCCCACAAACACCTATAATGCAGTTTGAATGGTGTTACCGCTCCACAAATGCCCCGCAACCGCTTCGCAACCGCACCGCAAACGCCGGCCGGGCGTTTGCGGAGCGGCACCATAGACTAGAATAGGAGGCTTCAACACCTCCTGACTCGACCAGAGGCGTCCGTTTTGCCGCGACGCAACATGACGTGATGCAAACGCTCCCGTTAGAACAGCACCATGTGCTGTAATGTGCAGAATTGGCAAAAGCGGAGGTTTGCCCCGCAACCGCTTCCGCACCGCACCGCATCGCCGTGGGAAGCGTAAAAACGCTTCCCAAACGCCTCTCTGCCGCCTGCACACAACGCTAGTGTGAACGTAGCCTTAGTCATAACATGCATTAGAAGTAGATAAAATAAATACATCAGGTAACCAGTCCCAGTCCCTAATGCCCCATTCACACCCTGATTGCTTAGTACCTTGAAGATCCCCAGCACTCAGCATCCACAATCCTGTGGTTTTCAGTTGTATTTGTTTACACCAGAGTGTAGTGTTGTTTAAGCCTGGGTTCACACATTCCTGTGCAAATCACATGCAAATTTCATTGCGGTGTGATTTGAGCCATACATTTTATATGGCTCAAATTGCACCGCATCCGCACCAAAAAGGTGCAGGACCCTTTTTTTTGGCCACACTAGAATTGGATCGCATAGATATTCACACCCATGCGATCCAATTCTGCACATCGCACCATGTTTTGCGGACCGATTTTGGGGTGTTGCTAACTTAACATACACACCTGCAGTGGTTCCCATGAATGCGGTGTGGAATTCGCACCACATCAGTGTGAACCCAGGCTGAGCCTCAGATGCCTGCAAAATAAACTACAAAAATGCCTGCTTGTTAAAAAAAAAAAAGCCTGCAAAGCTACCAAAGGTGCTCAAGTGTGGATGTGGCCTCATTTTCAGGACAACAAAACACAAAACAATGAAACGTGTTATATAAAAACCACAATGAAAAGCTTGTAGTATAAAAACAACAAAGAAAAGGGTGTACTATAAAAACAATGAAAAGGGTAAAGTATAAACACAAAATTCCAGGGACAACAAAACACAAAACAATGAAAAGTGTGTTGTATAAAAACCACAATGAAAAGGTGTGTAGTATAAAAACAGCAATGAAATGTTAGGTAGTATCAAAAGAATGAAAAGCATGTAGTATAAAAAAACAACAAAGAAAAGGGTGTAGTATAAAAACAATGAAAAAGGTGTAGTATAAAAAAAGAAAAGCGTGTCGTATAAAAACAGCAATTAAAAGTTGTGCAGTAAAAAGCAATGAAAATTGTGTAGTGTCAAAACCACAATGAAGAGTTGTGTAGTATTAAAAACAATGAAAAGTGTGTAGTATAAAAACCACAATGAAAAGTTGTGTAGTATGAAAAACAACAATGAAAAGTCCTATAGTATAAAAAACAACAATGAAAAGTTCAGTAGTAAAAAAAAAAAAAAACACAATGAAAAGTTGTGTTGCATAAAAACAACAACGGAAAGCTGGTAGCATACAAACAACAATGAAAGTGTGTAGTAAAACAATGAAAAGCAGTATAAAAACAACAACAGGAACTAAAACAAACACCTGTACAAGCAGAAACTAGGAAACAAATAATGTGATAGTATAATAACAAATTCTGTTTAGGTAAAATATATGATAATGAAATAATTTTCTTTACAATACAGGCTCAAAATCCAGTTAAATTAGTGTGGCAAAAAAAACTACAAAAGATAAAGTTATATATATATATCACATGAGTACATCATAGTTAAAAGATAAAGAAACACTACCAAGTGTATGGTTCTGGCCAGGGACGGATTGACCATTTGGAAACTCGGGCACTGCCCGGGGTCAGTAGGGGGCCCCATGAGATGCCCCGGTACCTTTTTCATAGGCTTTTTTGAGTTTGGGCAAGGACACAGGGGCCCCATGATCCCCTATTGCCCAGCGGCCCCATGAGTTGTCAGTCCGCCCCTGGTTCTGGCATTTGACAGTTGAATGATGGTTGGTGGGAATGTAGCATTTACGGCTTATTTACAAGTTCTCTGAAGATTGATCTGTGGTGGATTGCTTTTCAGCTCCTCGCTCCCTTTTTTAACCCATAAAAGCCTGCATAATCACATTGCACAAGGTTGCAGGGTGGTTGTGACACGGCCCCATTCATATGCATCGGTAGGGTTTGGTGGGCAGTACTGCCCACTGAATATGACATGGGGTATAATTCTTGCAGCCACAATGTGTACATCTCCATTCACTGCCTTTGTAGCTTACTGGGTAGATGCGGCTCAACCATGTGTTTTTATCGTCCCCCGACTGCAAGTGTAAGTGAGCCCTTTGCCTGGACTTTGGCAGAAGTTAAAGCCCATACCTAGCCAAGGTCTAGAATCCAAGGGGAAAGTTCACAAAAATGTGAACACAACTACAGGCATGGTTTCCTGCACTTCTGTGCT